TGCACTTCCCCTTTGCTCCCCATTATTTCCCGCAAACAACACTGTTGTTCCAGCGTTTTTGCAAAGATGATGTCCAAAAACACAGAGGTTTTCTAGATTTTCGGCAAAAGGATGCAGGAAGCCCAAGCCAGCAAAAAAGCCGGCAGGGGGAATCGAGCCTGGGACCCCTGTTTTGCGACACCGGACACCGGGTCCCCGAAGACTACGTTTAGTGGAACGTCATCAAATTGCCGCGCGGTCCTTGGGGGGGGGGGGGGGGGGCCCCCCCCCCCCCCCCCCCACGTATCAGACGTCGGGTGGGGGGGGGTTAGGGGGGGGGGTTATCCTCTATCCTCTCTTAGGTGTCCGACACGCCGAGCAATGTCGGCGGATTATCCTGTACGAGATGCCTCCGTCATGTTTGCGAGTTCTTAAACTTGCATTGCTAAACGAACACTGGGCCGAACTTCAATATTGAAGTCATAGTCATAGTCTTTCTTCCGGGCTTTGAGGGACAAATACGTGACAGGCTCTTGACGTGTGAGGAAAAAACCATTTGAGTTCTGCCTGCGTCACTGCCGCACGAGATCCACCAAGATATCCTTGGCAACACTTGCGTTGTTGTGATTACCTTTTGAAGTTACTCCCGTGCAGATTCGCGTGGAACCCAAACACATCTCGTGAATCGTCTAGAGGTGTCATGCAGAGGAGTAGTCCCGGGGCGTGGGCGACGGAGCCACGCCAGGAGAAAGGCTTTTACGAGTGGCAGGGGCTCTCGGGACCACGGGATGGACTTACCACGGAGACAACATTTTTGGATGTGTCCTAAAATGGGGGGATTGCTCCCCTATTTTCACATGGAACTTAAACAAGGGGTCCCCAAAACGGAGTTGTGATTATTCGGCTGCCCTTACTGCAGAAGTTGGTCGTGCTGGTGGTCATGTCGCGTTGCAAGGTCTGGCGATGCGCCGCGACCAGAGACTACGCACCTCAGCCATGACTTGAGAGCGGAGGGAGGCTGCGCTGAGCCCTCTTTTTCGCAGCGCTCGACTCATTAGATGGTAATGGTCTGAGTTGTTGAACCGAGGTCAGAGTGGTACTTGGATGGCGCAGCACAAGAGTCCAGCCACGTGGAAGCAAGCGGTCTTATGTCGACCTGTTTCTGTTAGCGGCGCTAGCGTCTCCAATATGCCAGGACGGCTTGGGCCTTGGATGGTTGATGAAACCTTCAACGAAGTCCTCCAACGACAGTTTGCCAATTTGCATGTGCGCAATACCCAATCTCGCTTAACTTTCGACCATGACTCGAGAACAATCATGCCGCCATTTGTAAAGCTGCCGAACTATCTCCAGCTCACCCGAGCTAAAACGCGCACCCACGATGAAGGCCTCTGGGGATTCTCCATTTCCCGTTTGTGAACCATAGCGAGTTTCCCAGGCAACGTTCACCCTTCGCGGACGGCCGGGTGATCCTTTCTAGACTTGGCAAAAGCATGTGACCCTGAGTGAAGTTTCCCTCCGGGAATTATATTGACCAGGGCTCCCTGTATTTATCCTTTTGGTGTTTTTAGACATTGCGTTTTTTTTCTTCCCCCAAGTTAAAAGGACTCCTTTTTGGTGGGGATAGTGAGCCCTGTTGACCAGCTCCCCCTGAATTCATAGGATCTCACTGAATTCTTGCTGGGCTAGGACCCCATCCCCCGAGGACATGGCGGCAAGCAGCCGGAGACCACGCCGAGACCAAGCTACCGGGGATGGGATAGGGAACGTAGGGTTGCAGTGTCCTTTCTGGTTGCACTATATAGTTGGTTTCCAAATGGATGGATTTGGTTTAGTTTGGTTGTATGCATCGCCAGCGAATTTGTTGCAAGGACCTACCATGGCCAAAGCAAAACTCAATGGCTGTGCAAGATGGTTTTCAGGTTGCGATGCCACACATCCAAACTGGTAAGCTTTTGGGAGGGGCTGGGGGCTCAGACAACTTTGAAGCCATTTCTCAGGGATTTGGAGAGGACAAAACGGCAAAGGGAAATCTCAGGGAGAGAAGCATCAAACAAGGCCGAGCACCAGCATGAGCCTCTTTGGCCGAGGTCTTACTGTGAGCCATTGGCACTGATGTTTGTTTTTGAAGAAAAAGCCGACACCAGAAATTTGTTGACCAACAGTCTGTCCTGAGTGTTCAGGACCCAGAAGCAACTGGAGGGTCTCACCCCGATCGCTTTGACCACCTATTGGCACGGCAAATCTCATACGTATAGCTATGGATTTTAGGATGATGTCCACCCAAGGGTCCCCAATTAAAATTCATGCCCATGCTGGTTCTGCTTTGATGAATTTCAGTCTGTTGCCTTCACCAGCTCGAGCGCCATAGCCGGAGATATTGAGTCATGGCTTTCGCTGGTGGACTGGTTGTCTCCATTTTGGTTGACCATTGCAAGGTCACACACACACACATTGACACCAGTTCAAGTCCAGGTTCCAAAAAGCGGCAAGGGGGTCGAGCCCAAAATCTCCACTTCCCCGAGCTCTCCCATTTCAACCAGCGAAGCTGCGAAATGAATTTCTCAGGTCAGAGTGGTTCATGGACAACGTCATGAAGCGGAGCTCGGAAGGCGGAACTAGAGTCCGCAGAATGCATATGGAGTTATGATTATGGGTTCACTCAAAACTGAAGGACCCCAACTGTAATGGACACCCTCCGATTTATTTATTGTTCGCCCAACTTGGCCTTATCCTGGGGCGGGAAATCCCATGCCCGCATTCAGCATGGGATCTTGAGCTAAGCCGAGCAGAAGGCTGAGATATGCCGTAAATAAACCCGAGATATGCCAGGGGTCAAAATAAGCCTTGGACTTGTTGTTTGTTGCAAGTGTGTAGGGCAAGCTGATCTTAGCACCCTTGGCATGAGGCAATTGAATTATGTTTCCAGACTCTTAGCCATGTATCGCGGACGGGGGCTAAAGGAGCTTTCCCATGATGATGGTCCCTTGGTTGGAGCCCGATCAGAATACAGAATGATCTTCACTTGCTAATGTGAAGTGTTTCTCAGAATTTCCGATTTTCAGGGTATGCAGATGCTCACCAAAAAGTTGTGCAGAGCTACTGGTCAGTTCAGTTGCTTCAGTCGGCTCCCATTCTTGGAACCGTCACACTCCGGGTAACAGTTTTTTTCTCAATTCCTCAGTTCCGGGACTTTAGTCGCTTTTTGGGTTTGGACATGTTTGGACCATTTGGTGGTATAAGAAAAAATAAACATTACACCAGCCTCGACCCCAAACAGCAAAAAAACATGACAGGTCTGCATAACCCAAAACAGGCTTGTCTCCTTCATGTAAGGTGCGAAATTGAGTAGCTTGTGTGAGCAACACATAGTTACAATCAGTCCATGTATGTCCCTGTAGGAAGTCCCCTTTTTTGGGAAGAGGACACATCGGGTCCATCCATCTCCTTGACGCCGGGTAAACGCATCGATGTTGTTCATCGACTTCGAGGGGGAAAATGCCATGAAGGCTGCGGGGATTCGGGGTGAATCAACCTAACACCTGGCATTAATCAAAGGAAGTTTCGGACACTCAATGCACTTTTCCATCACCGCAGCATTTGGTGGCCGTCTCGCTACTCTGCTGAAACTCGCGCATCAGTCTCAGCAGCTTGCGGCCGAGACTGGACACATGCCACTTCTGGTTGCTATCTTCTTCTCGAGCTCGGCTAAAGGTCTTGCCACAAGCAAAGCAAGAGAGCACTTGCATAAACTTGCAGACTGCGCCTTGTAGCGTTACGGCCGGGACATCCTCGCCTAGCAACGCAGACACACGCCGCGCCAAATTGGCAAGCGTCTGCAAAGGTGCCCGTTTGGCGCGCACCTCTGTCACCCGGCACAGCTCCACAAAATCCTCAGTGTTTGAGCCGGCAGTAGCTTGGCGCGCGCCGCATGCCCCCAAGACGGCCAACGTACCAATGCTGGCTGCGCAGTGGACACCACCAGCTTGGCCGGGTTCATCTTGGAGTTGGTGCTTGTGGTTCGCAGATTGGTGTTCACATGTGTGGTGGTGAACGTCCGGCGGCCGTCATTCCAACGCACGCCGCTGGCAACAACTTCTGGGCCTTGCGTTCACTCAGCTCCAGCAGCACTGTAATCAACTGGCCGGGTTCGTGAACTGTTTCCAAGTTGTCAAGGTCAGCGAAGTAGGTTGCCAGCAAAAGGCTCCTATGCATCAACCAAGTTTTTCGAGGAGAAACTCTTATGAGCTAATGGTTCGGCCGGGGACCCGACTCACCTTGGAGCGCGGGCCCCCCCCTTACGATGCAACAAGATGATAAGCACGCCTGCTTGACTGTGTGTTCGCTCGTCCCTCTCTGCAATAGGACCAGATCTCCAAGAGCAGGTAACCAGGAAACCACCAGGCCAGGAAGCCCCTCTGCGATTGGCAAAACGGCTCTTGTTGATGGGGCCCAAAAAGAAACCATCAAACACGGCGGCGGCGTTAGCAGCTCTTATTAGAATGCGCAGCCACCGAAAATGTGTCGAAACATGGCCATGACCGTGTGTCCTTGTTGCAATCACCACATTGAGCACCAGAGCCGCCGTTCCGTAATGTTTACTTGGGGAGTTCGCCACGCACGCAGAGTGTCCAGCAGCCCCGAAACCTTTTGCTTCAACGGGCCGGAATCGGTGGAAGCTGCGCACGGCGCCAGGTACTCCTAGCAAGTTCTCTGCGCAAGTTCCTCTGAGCAGGTTGTTGGCGCGAGTTCCTTTGAGCAAGTTCTCCAAGCAAGTTCTTGGCGCAAATTATCTGAGCAAGTTCTCTCAGGCAAGTTTCTCTGAACAAGTTTCAATGAGCAAGTTGTCTGAGCAAGCTCTCTGCGCGCAGCGCTTGCCGCAACACACTGCAACTTCCCAGCGCAACTCGCTACTGCAACTTGCTAGCGCCACTTGCTGGTGCTACTTGCTAGTGCTACTGGCTCGTGCATCTCGTTAGCGCTATCTTGCTCGTGCTACTGGCTTGCGCCATTTACTCGCTAGTGCTACTTGCTAACGCAGCTTGCTGGTGTCATCCCTGAGGTCTTTCGCAGCGCTCCTACATCCCTAGCATCATCAGTCGCCTAGAGCCCCCTCCCCCCGGCCCCTGCTCCATTCCAAGTCAGTTCTGGCTCTGCTGATGTGACAAGGATGCGAACCAGTCAGTTTGGCTGCTGATGCGCCACAAGCATGCAAACCAAAATACGGCCACTTGGCTGGGCTCTGCTGGTCCGCCACAAGGATGCAAACCAGGCTCTGCTCATGCGCCACAAGGATGCAAACCAGTCAGTTACGGCCACTTGGCTGGGCTCTGCTGATGCGCCTGCAAACCAGTTTAGTCCACATTGCGCAAATTAGTCAGTTACGGCCACTTGGCTGGGCTCTGCTGGTGCGCCACAAGGATGCAAACCAGTAAGTTAAGGCCACTTGCCTGGGCTCTGCTGATGCGCCACAAAGTGCTGCTGCGCCAAAAGGATGCAAACCAGTCAGCTAAGCCGCTTGGCTGGGCTCCACAAGGATGCAAACCAGTCAGTTACGGCCACTTGGCTGGGCCCTGCGATGCAAACCAGCCACTTGGCTGGGCTCTCCTGATGCGCCACAAGGATGCAAACCAGTCAGTTGCGGCCACTTGGCTGGGCTCTGCTGATGCGCCACAAGGATGCAAACCAGTCAGATAACGCCACTTGAACTCTGCTGATGCGCCACAAGGGTGCAAACCAGTGAGTTACGGCCACTTGGCTGTCGCGCCACAAGGATGCAAACCAGTCAGTAAGGTCACTTGGCTGGTCTGCTGTGCACCGCAAAGATGCAAACCAGTCAGTTAAGGCCACTTGAAAAGGCCGCTTGGCTGGGCTCGCCACAAGGATGCTCGGCTGATGCGCCACAAGGATGCAAACCAGTCAGTTGTGGCACTTGGCTGGGCTTTGCTGATGCACAAGGATGCAAACCAGTCAGTTACGGCCACTTGGCTCTGCTGATGCCCCACCAGGGTGCAAACCATGCAGTCAGTCACTTGGCTGGGTGCGCCGCAAGGATGCAAACCAGTCAGTTAAGGCGTCTGGCTGGGCTCTGATGCGCCACAAGGAGCCACTTGGCTGGGCTCTGCTGCTGCGCCACAAGGACGCAAACCAGCCAGTTACGGCCACTTGGCGGGGCTGCGCTGATGCGCCACAAGGATGCAAACCAGTCAGTTACGGCCACTTGCCTAGGCCCTTCAAGGATGCAAACCAGTCAGTTACGGCCACTTGGCTGGCTCTGCTGATGCTCCACCAGGGTGCAAACCAGTCAGTCACTTGGCTGGGTGCGCCACAAGGATGCAAACCAGTCAGTTAAGGCGTCTGGAAATAAACAAGTCAGTTACGGCCACTTGGCTGGGCTCTGCTGATGCGCCGCGACAAGGATGCACACCAGTCAGTTAAGGCCACTTGGCTGGGCTCTGGGATGCTCTGCTGATGCGCCACAAGGATGCAAACCAGACAGTTGTGGCCGCTTGGCTGGGCTTTGGTGATGTGCCACAAGGATGCAAACCAGTCAGTTGCGGCCACTTGGCTGGCTCTGCCTGCTGATGCGCCACAAGGATGCAAACCTGTCAGTCACTTGGCTGGGATCTGCTGATGCGCCACAAGAATGCAAACCAGTCAGTTAAGGCTACTTGGCTGGTCTGCTGATGCGCCGCAAGGAAAGAAACCAGTCGGGTCAGTTAATGCCAATCTGATGCGCCACAAGGAGCCACTTGGCTGGGCTCTGCTGATGCGCCACATGACAAGGATGCAAACCAGTCACAGTTACCGAGCTGATGCGCCACAAGGATGCAATCCAGTCAGTTACGGCCACTGGGCTAGGCTCTGCTCATTCGCCACAAGGATGCAAACCAGTCAGTTTCGGCCACTTGGCTGGGCTCTGCTGATGCGCCGCAAGGATGGAAACCAGTCAGATATGGCCACTAAGGCCCCAGCTGGGCTCTGCTGGTGCATCACAAGGATGCAAACCAGTCAGTTAAGGCTGCTTGGCTGGGCTCTGCATGGCTCTGCTGATGCGCCAAACCAGCCCTGAATGCGCCACAAGGATGCAAACCAGAATGCGCCGCAAGGATGCAATCCAGTCAGTTACGGCCACTTGGCTGGGCTGCGCCGATGCGCCAGAAGGATGCTAACTTGAAACCAAGAAGCGCGGCGCTGGCTTTCAAAAAGCAGCTCAGAATCCTGAGCAAAGCAATCAGGCGGATGTAGATTTGTTTATCGAGCACGAAATGGACACTTGTAGGCTCGACAGGGCTCTGCTTATGCGCCACAAGGATGGAAAGCTGCGCTTGGCCAAGAAGTGCGGCGCTGGCTTCCACACAGCAGCTCAGTGTCAGCCGGATGTCACGGTATTTGTTCAGCTGATGCGCCACAAGGCTGCAAACCTGCGCTTGACCAAGAAGTGTGGCACTGGCTTCCCAAAAGCAGCTCAGAATCCAAAGCAATCATCCGGATGACAGTATATTTGTTTTTCGAGAAAATGGACACATTTAAGGCTTGACAGAGCTCAGCTGATGCGCCACAAGGATGCAAGCTTGCACTTGACCAAGAAGTGCGGCACTGGCTTCCAAAAAGCAGCTCAGTATCAGCCGTACTTGTCTATCGAAACCAGTCTACATATTTAAGGCTCGACAGAACTCTGCTGATGCGCCGCAAGGATGCAAACCTGCACTTGACCAAGAAGCGCGGCACTGGCTTCCAAAAAGCAATCAGCCGGATGTCACTATATATTTGCTGTTTTTTTTATCAAGGAGACAGACATATTAAAGGCTCGACAGGGCCCTGCTGGTGCGCCGCAAGGATGCAAACCTGCACTTGGCCAAGAAGTGCGGCGCTGGCTTCTAAAAAGCAGCGCAGTTTCCTGAGCAAAGCAATCCGCCGGATGTCACGATTTGTTTGTTTATCGAGAAAAAAGGACATATTTAAGGCTCGACATGCTTGCTTCTAGCTCCAACGATGCTCCACAAGAATGCAAACCTGCGCTTGACCAAGAGAGAGGCACATCCTTTGCACACAGGCTAACAGCAAAATCTGCGACATGCCCTTTCCCGTTAAGTGGTCCCTGCTGACTTGTCGAATCTATGTTTCAGCTGCTGCCACGTGAGCCCAAGGGAGCCAAACGCCGGTTACTGGATGCCAAGCAAGCCAGGTCAGCCTCAAAACTGGGCAAGAAGAAACAGGTTCAGTTGGTTTTGCCCGGGACCTTGATTTTTCCTGTTGAGGGCTGTAAGCAGGAAAACAGCCAGCTGGCAGCAAGCAAGGTCAGCCCCAAAACTTGCAAAGAAGAAGCAGCTTCAGCTTGTTTTGCCCGGGACCCTGTTGAGGGCTGTAAGCATTCAACAAACAGCCACCCAAAACTCGCAAACAAGAAGCAGCTTCAGTTAGTTTTGCCCGGGACCATCCTTTAACGCAGAGACTGGGAGAGAGAGGGAGAGAAGCGGGAGACACGACGACCGCAGAGGCTGGGAGACACAGAGGACAAGACCCCGGCGTCACAGCGTCTGGCATCCGACCACAGAGACTGGGAGACAACCGGGAGACACCACCCCACAGCGTCACAGCATAGACACAGGACACAGGAAGACAAGCGGGGAGACACGACCCCGGAGCCAGTGCCACAGCATCTGGCATCCGACCGCAGGGACGAGACTGGGAGACAAACGGGAGAGACCAGAGCGAATCTGGAATCTGACCGCAGAGACTGGGGGGAGAAGCGGGAGACAGGACCGGGAGCCACTTTCCGATTCTCTATACCTCAAGTTAGAACCCCAATGCTTCGCTGTTTGGGGAAAAACAGTTTGGATTTGTTTATGGCCAGTCCACTCAATCGGAAGTCTACTCGTTTTGCAGACCGGAGTGACTGGAGGCCAGCCTCGGGCCCGGGAAGAGTACCAGATCGGCACCTTCACGACCTGATGGGCGCTCAGATTTGCTTGAAGGATGTGGTTGTGTGGCAAAGCCGAGCAAACCCTGACGAATGCGTACATGGTCCAAGCAGTCCCTTGCTTTGACACACGCGTACGTGTGCAAAGGGCTGAAGCCCGCATCTTTGGTCACTTTTCCTTGAAAATGCCGTCTCAGAGCACGACGCGAAGTTGGTGGTTCTTTCGTTTGGTTGGACTAACTCGCAAAGTTCCACGGTCTGGCAGTGGGATAAATTTGGCACTCATCGTTTGACATGTTTGAAGTTCCGTCGCAGATGGGCACAAAGCTTTGATTCATGCGACAAGGCGGCTTGCTAAAGGGCAACTGCCAGTCTCTCTTCTCAAGCATGGCCCCTTTTTTGCTTTTGCTCAGTGATTGCAGGTATGTTTGTTTGTACACCTGACGAGTGTTGCATATGTGTTTGTAAGATTTGCAACTGTGGACCCGCTTTCTGGGGCATGCAATGCGTTCTACATCTTCCATGCGAGTACCTTGCCTCAGCTAGACGTCCTGATTTCATCGTGTGGCCAAATGGGCCAAATATGTTTGAGGTACCCATGTTTGCTGTTTGAATCGAACGACAGAGGAAGGCCACTGTTGGGCGGTCCTTTGAGGCTGAGTTACTCGCGGCTGTCTCAAAGATGTCTTGGCCATGCGTCCTGGTTTCGGAAATTTGCGCGAGGTCCGCTCGTTGATGTGCATGCCTTCATTGACATGTTGAGGTTGCCATGTTGCCTTGGCCTTTTGTCCTCAATCATGCATTTGGAAGGTTCCTTGAGATGAACTTGACACTCAATTGAGTGTTGGTTGCGGATTTAGCGAGGACATGGGAGGACACCCAACTGTCCCGCACAAGTCACCAAAAAATGAGGCCCCATCCGCCATGTTCCATGTGTATTTGGGGACAAAGGCAGTTGGCTCAGTGGTAGCCCCCGCGCGCTGTGAAAAGTGTGTACGCCGTTGCGGCTCTTAGCCAATCACATGACGAGGGCCTTGTCCAAGCAGTGATGTAAAGGACAGGCAAAAGGTCAGCAACCCTGAACACATTTCTCTAGTTGGAGACAAACCCAGATAGCAGGTGACGTTGACCTCAGCCAGTCAAAATTTGCAAGCAATACATGTCTTTGCTTTCGCGATAAACTCAAAGAGTAACACCCCAATGAGAAGCACCCAGCAAGTCACTTTCAGCAATTGAGGCACAGTCTTATCTTCCCGTGCTCATGCATGTCTTCGAAGACTGGTCGCCTCACGCTCACGACGGCAAGGACATCTTTGGCAAGGATGCGTCCCCGTTGCCATTCTATTTGGTGCGGCGCAATACTGCGTGGCTCAAGGGTGCGCAGATGGTGACACTGGCACTCAGCCTTTGTGCTGCTGCTTCGGGCCTATTTTGCTGGCAGAAGTTTGCCAACCTGCAGGTCAGCAGAAGCCTGCATGAGGCGGGCAGAAATCATGTCCTCTTGAGGCAATCCAGCCTTGAACTAGGGAGGCATTCAAAGAAAGAACGTGCAATATTCTGACAGTTCCCCACCAAAAGACAATTGCCGAGAAACGTGCAGCCTGACCCAAGTCGCAAGAGTCCCTCGTTCGGTTTGTGTCAAAACAAAGTGCCACAAATTGACAACCTGGCACTGAAACAACTACTCGAACACATAGGCTTATCTTACGAGCACAATGTCGCAACATGTTTTCTCAGTCTTAGTTAGTGTCTTTGGAGCGCGTGATTGAAGTTGCCCCACCCTGCTGATGGGTTTTACAGCTGATTCCTTGAAGTAGAAGGCCTTGCGGCCCCATTGACCTGTACAGGGTTTCTAGGGCTCAAGGATTCGAATTTCAACTGTTTCAATCATGCAGCCCGTTTGGAGCCTGTTTCCCTGGGCTTGAAAAAAGAACACATGTTCCACTTTGCTATTGAAAGCTGAATGTGTAAGCCCATGACTCACCCCCCCTCCCCCACCAATTTTTGGGATTCATATGTGGCATGGTCAAAAGATCCCTTTACTTGGGGTTCACAGGGATGTTAATGCACCTGGTGGTAAGGATCCCGAAAAACTAGCCATATAAGGTGTTCTGACCCTGGCTAATATGGGTTTACATCGGGTTGTCATTTTTTGTTGGCAGGCTTTAAAGGACTACCAAGAGGACACCCGCCATTTTGGGGCACCCCCTGAAAAACAACACGCCTTGCTTCTCATTTTCCGGGCCTCCCTGGGTTCAGGTGACTTTTGACGCGGCTCGGCTCAAGAACCTCAGCCACCTGGTGCTGGTTGCAGGCCATGCCGCCGCCCGGCGAAAGAACGAGAGCGAAACATCGCCAAGGTTCGCCTTGGCGAGCGCGCGAAGCGCGTTGCTCACCATGGTCCTTGCCGGATCCCCACTGTGGATGGACAAAATCCTGCACCACCCAAGACACCATGTGAAACCATTGTTTGTTGGTATTTGCAGGGGATCATATCATTCTAGGGTTTCTTAGGTGGTGCAGGATTTCACTGTATTTTAGGTGAAACTAAAGTTGCAGATAGAAATGTTGATTGCCTCAAAAGAGCAGGGTCCTAGGTTTTGCAATCCATGTCCGTCGTATGGATGGCACTTCGTGCTTTTTGTTCTTGGTATGAATCAGACGTGGGTTTCTGCGCGGTTTTCGTATGGGTTGCTCAGCGGTGCATGTATGTGTTGGTTCCCTCTTGTCGCCATGTCATCTTGTTTTTCGTTTGTTGGTGTCCTTCAACTCGGCGATGCTGCGGTAAGAAAGGCCAACAGCTGATGTGAAGCTGTTGTGCTCGTCGGATTCCGATGGACATGGAGTCCGTACAGACCGCACAAACCCACGTTCCAAGACATACAGGAATGTGTTTGGGCGCTTGAATACAAGGGATTTGTGCCACAGAGGTGCCATTGCTTTGACATCCCACGCATTTGGTTTGGAGTCCATCGGTCCATTCCCCAGATGCTTTAGGGAGCCAAAAGTGCGAGCTTAGGTGCTGCTGGCAGATTCCATGGAGCACGTGCTGCAGCGGGAGTCGGACTGGTTTTTGGAACCCTACCAGAGGGGTCAAGACCTACCCAAGGCGAGCGTTGCCGAAAGCGCCACGGGGCGAGATTTGGGTCGAATTCTTCTTGCAGAGACTAGGAGGGAGAGAGACAGAGAGGTCTAGAGAGAGGGTGCACGCAAGGAATGAGAAGGAAGCATTTGGCGATGCCAGGCATCGGGTATTCTGCGGACATGGGACGGATCCCGTGTTTTGACTCCTTTGACCAAGCAGCCACCCGCCCCAGACCATCCCTGGCTGGGCCCTAAGGCTGAGGGGTGGGCTATGGACTTTTCCGGACGGGGGACCACGCAGCATTGAGGTTGTGCCTTGGATGTGGGATGATTCCTATTCGTGTCTGACAAAAACCCTTGGTTGCTTTTTGGTTGGACCGAACCGACCTTTCAAACGTTTGGACACTCTTTCCCGACAACAGACAGACCACCATAGAAAACTAGACTGTTAAAGTTAGGTCTCAAGCCCCGTCTCATTTTTGACGGGTCGCATAATGACAAAATGCACAACCGCCCAGAGGCTTTCTTAGTCGGTGCGTCAAGATATTGGAAACCAAAACACTCTTGAAACAAAGTCTCTCGAGCTTCAATCGAAACAGAACAAGCTCCAGCCCTTGAAGCCTTTCAAACTCCAGAACACGGACGTTGCCGCCATTGCCTGGATTTCTTTTTCGTGCCCTGCCTGATCTTGGTAAGCCCTGGGTCTGATTCTCAACTGTGTGGCAAAGCATAAGACACCAGCACACCTTCAAACCAGCATCTAGGCAACCAGCAGGGAATGTTACAAGAAGTTCGCCGAAACCGCCGGCTTTGGGCATGGCTAACTTCCCATGTTGGCAGTTATGAAACCATTCAAGTTGTGGCTCTTCTTCTTTTCTTTTGCTTGTGTTTTCTTTCCCCGTGTTTTTGTTCTTTCTCTTTTTTCGGATTTCCTGAAACTGAAAAAAACAAACAAGAAAAAGCGAACCCCAATGAAGTCGGAGATATTGATCTTCCGCCAGGCCTTGGTGAGCCACATCAAGTCGGGGGTGGACTTGGCGGCCCTGGACCCGCGGGCGCTGCTGGTCTTCTCGGGCGGCCAAACCCGCGCGGCGGCCGGGCCCCGAGACGAAGGCGGGGGTTTGGATTTCGCTGCACCGGGCGCTACTCTTTGCTTCGGGCAAATTGCAGTCATTGTATCATGCACGAACCTTGAAAAAAAGGAGTTCCAAGATCCATGCGAGTCAGGAAGATTGTGGTTGCACGACAAAAAGAGAGTGGCTGCAGCACAGAGCGCAAGAGGGCTGCCTGCGGATGCAATAAGGCATGAGACATCATCAGACCTTGGGGTTGCATCCCCTTTGCGGGAGACTCGGGCTGTCCCTCCGGTCATTCTCGTGTGCATGTTGTTCTGGGTTGCGGCCACAGGATTTATTGAGGACATGGAAAACTGGGTTGTGTACCCCCCGGTGTCCTGGTGTTTGTGGGAAACGGGGAAACGGGGCCGGGGGGGTGGGTTGTCCCGTATGTCCTCCCCCAACAAGCAGTAGACCAAAAGCTTTGTCATTTCTGCAGGGCACCGCCACGGAATGCTCCCGCAGGTCTTCTGTGGGGTACCCAGTCAGTTCACTCAAACCAATGGGGACATGGTCCGGTGTTTTGCTGAGTGGCTAGTTGCCTCCTTTTCACCCCCGCTCAATCCGTTGTAGCTCGGGTTGCTCGCCATGTAGCTAAATCCCAGGCCATCTAAGTACGCATATCCCTTGTTTTTCCATCCTGTGAGAGCAATAGAGCGGCCGTTGCAACAAGGGATGGCCTATATAGCAGCCAAGGTTTTCGACGTGGGGGCTGGGCCCTTTTTTGGCCCCCCCCCCCAAAAAAAAAACAGATAAGGCGACTGTTTTCCTTTGGGCTTCCCTTGAAAACCACCAAAAAGGGGATATCCTCAAGAAGAGACACCCCTCCTGGTGGGAAAAGGGTTTCTAGGCTCATGCTCCGTGATCAGTTTTACAGCTTGACAATCCCGAAAGCTTTCAGTCAGTCTTTTGGTTCATACGGCGGTGCAGAGCATAGGCTTGAGGGGGGTGGGGCGTGCGTCCTTGTGCCAGGGGCGGATGGTGTGGCTTTTGCATTGGCCTCTCAGGGCATCTTAGGATGAGTCTGCGCTGCGAAATTGTCTCAACGTCTCCATGACATGGAAGGCGAGCACACCAGAAGAAGCGAGCAAATGGGACCATTGCCTATTGCCACCCCCCCATTGCCCATTGGAAGTTCACTTATGGGGACGCCGTCAGAACAGGCCACTGATCACTTGTTTTTGGCGAATCGGTCATAGCTACAAGGCCGCTTGATTGCCGGAGTGCGAAGAAGTGAGTTCTCAGAGTCAGGCTGGAGCTACTATCGGGTCGCTGAGTACTTCTCCTGGTGGGGCCATGCCACTGACGGTACTGCATACTTGAAGGAGGCGTGCTGGCAGGGAAAGCTTTGGGAGCACCTTTAGGGAAAGCGCCAGTCCCCGTCTCTGGTTGAGCAGGTTTCCACTGGGAAGGTGTTGGCTTGTGATCTTGGCTCTGCGGCCGGCGCTTCAGACTTTGCTTCCCCTTCCTTCAAGCCAAACACGGGCGCGGCCCGAGCGTCAACCGGTCGACAAACAACCGGCTCTTGTTTCACTCGTCCCCGGGCCTAATGACACCTACTGCCCTGCATGGCAAGATGGGAGGTTGTCGCCCTATCAGAAGATTCCTCCAGAAAAAATGATTTGTCGGATGACATGCGAATCTGCAGGGGAGTAAAACGAGAAATCCTCTCATCTACTTCAACCCAGCTGCCGGTTTGATAGTTTTCTCTTTGCAACACGGCGGACTCACCAAGTATGCCACAAAACAAAACAGGGCTCTGACAGATCTTAGTGGTGCCCAGACATCCCCTTGGGCTGTTAGCAATTGAGGGTTTAGCTCGGGGTTTCCATTTCACCCACTAAAATTTACAGATTGTTAATCCATTTAATCCATTTCACCCATTTCACCCATTTAACCCTTTTCACCCATTTTCCCTTTAGCTTTTCGCAGATCCGAACACGGGCAGCCCAGTTATTTCGTTCCATGCCCAGAACACGCAAAACGCCAGGCGCAGGGGCGGGGCGCATACCTGGCAGTGGCACAGCGTACGGTGACGGAGGACTTCGCATTGGACTCCTTCCAGAACCTCCTCTTTTCCTTGTGCCGATTCAAGGACCAGCTAATGTTGACCCCGGATTAATAACCCCTGTTTCCCTCTCAAAGTGATAAATCCACACTAAAACCAGGGACACCCCCATATTAATTAACAGGGGTTTATTAATCCAGGGGCAACCTTCATTGAGGGAAAAAGACAAAAACACCTTGTGCTATTCACCTTAAGATGGGTCGAGGGCAAAAAACATGGAGACCTTCTCACCTTGGATCGAGGGAAAGGGATCCACTTGAAAGAACTTTGAGGTCCGATTTTTGCGCTGAGTCAAAGCTGAGGGGCACGGAATACAAGCCGTAGAGAGCACTATGGTGTCGCAAGAAGGTTACCTAGCATGTGCGCTCATGGGGCACTTAAACCGTGACTGACCAGATCTTTGCTCGCCCCGTGCGGTCATTTGGCTCAATTTGCCACCGATCCAAAGCACGCAGCTTCAGCTCCAGCAGCGCAAGAAAAGGTTTCCCTGACAATACAAACACAGAGGTGATAGTTCCCATGTGCCCCCTTAGCGGCTGTACACGTCACCTTGGGCCGAGTCAAAGTGATTGCTTGTCTGGCTGGCTGGTGCATCAAGCGCAGCTATAGACTTTGTCAGCCTCATGCAAAGAACATCTGAAGATGTGAACTGCATTTGGGCGGAAGCCAAAGGGGAGCCCACCATTTCCAAAGTGTTGTCGACCGTCTTGGACGTTCTCCAGTCAACAGCTTCGCTGGTGCAGGAGGTGGTGGGGCATTATCCCGAGCGGGTGACGGTGGTGAGCTTCACTTTCAAGAAGCAGCTTGGGCGCTCGTGTTTCAGAGTTTCAGGAACTCCTCTCGCATGTTACCAACGGCTGAGAGACCAGTTTTGCTCTGTCAAGAATATAAACATATGGCATCATGTGGCATCATGATGTCCAAACACATTGGTTCATAGAGATCATAGTTGCAGTTATGTTTAGCGTGTTCCTAACAAATGGTGATGTCCAGGTCGTGTTGTTTGCGCCGGCAAGGCTTCACTGAACCTCGGAAGGTAGAGGCCAACGTGGTACAGATCGCCCGCAATGGGGTTCAATCCAAGCAGATGTCTCGACACCATCTCGGATCTGACTTGAGAGCAGCATTTGGAAGCAAACTCGCCCAAGAGCCTGCTTCACCTCAGCCAAGGAAGAGCATGAACACCTTTCCCCTGCCGACTAGTCAACTCAGGCCTCGTTGAAAGGATCTTTTGGCCAGTCACGAGTCGCATGTTGCCATAGCTCCCTGCAGACAAATACAAAGAGCCACGTCAGCAACTGTTTTCCTACACTGAGACAGCTGCCCTCAGACATCAGAGGCCCCATGTACCCGAACAAGCCGACAACATGTGCACCCAGAATTTGGAAGAATGCCTCACATGTGCTGACTGTGGTTTTGGCGCAGCGCACACTTGAAGTTTGTTTGGCGCGATTTGGGTGAACTGCCTGCAGAAGTGCGCGTTCCAACCATCCCCAAAGTCCACATAGGCTGGCTTTTGACACACTCGCTTTTGGTCTCCTGTCTATTTTGTGTGTACTGGACAAAAACCAACCAACCGTATTGTTTGCAAAGGAGCCAATAATTATTTTCAGTTGTGTTCGAAGGACACATGCGCGGAATCCGCGAGTTTTGTTCAATGACCAACCAACACATCCAAAAGAAACCAACCGTACCCCAAGCAGTTGAATTTCTTCCCGCGCCACTCGCCCACCAGCCAGCAAATTGCCACACACCCACCCACCAATCAACCAACCAGACGACCGCATGGCACAGGTCTGTCGTTTTTCCTGTTGAACACCTTTTTGGGGTTTCCTGGTTTCCTTCTTTCCCAAGGCCCAGTTGCCCAGAGGCGCCCTTTTTTCCCTCCTTTTTTGTGGAAGGGTTCCCCTTGAAACTCAACCAACCCACAAAAATCGGATGCCGATCCCTTTTTTCCATGGACATCCACTGGGCATCTGAGAAAGGGACGCCACGGAAAGCTGGCCGCGGCGCTTTTCGATTCGCTGGAGGCGGCGCTTTTCGGAGCTGCACCGGCGCGCTCTCAGCTTCCCGGCATCCAGGCGGATCGATCGCGTGCGCTTTCGGGCGCTCAACTGCCGGCATGGGCCAAGTAACAAACATGAGAAAGTCGCAGCGAGCTTTGGCAATGCGGCAGCAGTCACCATCCACCATGCAACGGAAGTTTGTCCATGCACAAAGATGTGCTGTTTGTGTGTGTGTGTGGGCTTGTGTTTGTTTGTTTGTGTGTGTGTGTGTGCGTGTGTGCGTGTGTGTTCGTCTGTGTGTGTGTGCGTGCGTGTGGTTGTCTGTGTTTGTGTGTTTGTTTGTTTGTTGGTTTGTTTGTTTGTTTGTTTGTGTGCTTGCGTGTTTGCATGTTTGTGTTTGCACAGTTGTGTGTTTGTGTGTGTGTGTGCGTTTGTGTGTGTGTGTGTGGGTGCGTGCGTGCGTGGGTGCGTGCGTGCGTGCGTGCTTGCGTGCGTGCTTGCGTGCGTGCTTGTTTGCGTGTGTGTGTGTGTGTGTGTGTGTGTGTGTGTGTGTGTGTGTGTGTGTGTGTGTGTGTGTGTGTGTGTGTGTGTGTGTGTGTGTGTGTGTGTGTGTGTGTGTGTGTGTGTGTGTGTGTGTGTGTGTGTGTGTGTGTGTGTGTGTGTGTGTGTGTGTGTGTGTGTGTGTGTGTGTGTGTGTGTGTGTGTGTGTGTGTCTGTGTCTGTGTCTGTGTCTGTGTCTGTGTCTGTGTGTGTGTGTCTGTGTGTGTGCGCGTGCGTGCGTGCGTGCGTGCGTGCGTGTGTGCGTTTGTGTTTGTGTGCGTTTGTGCGTGCGTGCGTGCGTGCGTGCGTGCGTGGGTGTGTGTGTGTGTGTGTGTGTCTGTGTGTGTGTGTGTTTCTGTGTGTGTCTTGGTGTGTGTGTGTGTGTTTGTTTGTTTGTTTGTTTGTTTGTTTGTTTGTTTGTTTGTTTGTTTGTTTGTGCATGTGTGTTTCTTCGTTCTTTTGTTGGTGTGTGTGTGTGTGTTGTGTCTTGCTTGTGTGTTTGTGTGTGGGTGCTTGCGCGTGCGCTTGCACGCCTGTGGGATCGGCCGTGGGGGCACGTGCACGAACACGTGCGCCTGCGTCCACTGCGTGCCTGTCCGTTTTTGTGTTGTATGTGTTTGCGTGTGCGCGCCTGTGCTTGTGTGTTTGTGTGTGTGTGTGTGCCTCTGTTTCTGCGTTTCCGTGTGTCGCCGTGTCAATGTTTTTGTTGTTTGTGTGTGTGAGTGTTTTGTGGTTGGTTTTTTGTTTGCTATTCGACATGCAGGTCCAGAGTTGTGCGAGGGTGTTGCGTTTGTGTGTGTGTGTGTCTGTGTCTGTGTGGGTGTGGGTGCGGAGATGTGCGTTGTTTGTTTGATTTGAGAGGTGAGATTTTGGTGTTGGGATGGAAACAAGTTGCCCGCGATTGTGGCGTAGTTATTAGAAGAAACTGGCGGAGGGTTGCGGGTGGGTTCTGCATCCAGTCAGTGGCATTGTTCAAACTGCATGCCGTCGCGTTTTTTCCTAGGCCTGTTTCTGGCCGATTGTTTCCGGCATGGCTTCAATTTGACATGTTGATCGTTCATTACTAATCATGCTAATTACTACATATTCAGGTTGTTTACTCTGCCCACGCAATTCTAAGAACATGCTTGATTGTCAGGTGCAAAGGTGCTGACACAACCACGTGTTGATACTAAGTTCGCTCCCAGTGACTGGCTCAGAGTTTCTGTTTGGCTTCCCTAAGAGGTTAGTTTGTCTGAAAGTGAGCCCAAAAAGTGATTTCCTGATGTAATGACAACCTAACCCGGAGAGTATCATAGGAATTCGGACTTCAAAATCAAAAGTCATAGAAAAAAATCCGGCCATTTTCAGGCTCACATTTGGCTATGGGTCAAAATCCAAATTGTACCTCCAGTGAACATCCCAATCCCCACTAAAATAGGTTCTAAAATGGGTGGAGAATTCACCTACCCCAAAATAGGATCCCATTGGTTTTGACAACCACAGGGAGAAGTTCCCCCGAGCGGTCCGGGAACTGGGGAGGTTCTTCTTCGTGGGCATCCAGCCGCCCCCGAACTCGCGCTTCGACCTGCAGAAGGCGGAGCAAGGCGAGCTCCAGAACCTCGACTAGGTCCAGCTAGGTGCCCTTTCTCACCGTTTCTTTTTTTGGGGAGGGTTCCCTTGCTAAAATAGACAGAAAGAAGTTGGTACCCTTATTCTATCCTCTCTACTGGGAGGACCTTGTTGACGTACTTGGTGTGGGAAATGACCCATGCAGGGGTGTTGGGAAGGAACCCAGGCTTTGGTCACCTCTAAGGGGAAACCACCAGGCCCTCAGGCAGGGATGGTTTATGGGGATCATTTTTTTCAGAAGCCCTGCCTATCGCAGCAGCAAGCTTAGGAGTGTCAGGGAACCTCATGGGTGTGCCCCATGAAGGTCCCCTTGGTTCTGGGAGTCCAAAAAGTGCTTGTTGGTGAATCAAGATTGTACCATCTGCCCAGATGCGTTGAAATTTGCTTGCGCCCAAAATTCCCGAACCCACTCCAGAAACGGGAACCTCAAAAGCCACACCCATAAACCTATAGGTATGGAAGATCCCAGGAGTCAATCCCACGATTCTGTCAGCTAAGTGTTTCTTTTGCAATGTGTTACCCAGCAACACGGAACCACCCTCAAACTTCTGCGGTGCACCAGCATTCACAGTAAATGATTCCCGCCATCTGAAGCAGTTGTTCACATCCGACCTTTTTATCTGTTGTTTGTTTCTCAACTTTCAGTGACATCTTATATATATATATATACATATCCCTTTGACAAAAGGATGGAGGTAGCAAAAACAAAAATCTAGAGCTTTCAATTGCGAACCACATTTACACTACAATTGGCAGACCCTTTAGCGCACTTGCGAGGCTCGGACCCCAAACAGCGCCTGAATGTTAAGGCTTGGAAGATCAAGTTGGCAGTGTCGTCTAGCACCTTCTGAGTTGTTTGATGTTTCAGCATGTAAATATGGGCGCTGCTTGTTAAGGGCCACCGCATTTGATTGACGCTGAAGACATAGTACAAAAGGTCCGCAAGGCTTGAGTGCATTTAGAAACGTCCCGCAGATCTGGTTGCAACCAGGGGCCACACAGGATTCAAAAGTATAGCCATCAGCCAAGACATCCATTGAAGGTGCAGTCATGCCCCCAGACGCCACAGCCTTGAACGTGGGGTTCGGCAAAGTTCACAATGCGGGCATGTGGGACCTCAGATTCCAACCTAGGCTTCTCCTCGTCCGGCTTTCGGTTGTAACCATCCAGCGGTTTTTCGCCGAGGAATTCGGTGCGCCTCTTCGAGGAGGATCCCTATGGCTGCAACTCCAAGGCGCCTTCCAGCGAACTCGCCTGGTCCAAATCTTTGCCCACGCATGGTTTGGTGCACAGGAACCCGCAGAGAGGAAAGCCGACTTCGGGGGGAGTTCGTGCACTTTTGCGTTAGGAGGAACTGCAACTGGTGGTGGAAAACTGTAATTTGCCACTGGCTAGCATGTTATTCTTTTTGGGCAGGGGGTAATAGATGGGGGAAGATCCAAGTAATTACCCCTGCCAATGTTGGGCACACCCGGCTCCTCAAAACTCCCTTGGCAGCATGCTGATTCTACCCAGCGAGCGTCCCCTTGAAGACTTTTGAACAGCTTGGGTGGTTGGAACACCTCGGATCCCAGGATTCCCGGTGGCTCCTTTGGTTGCCGCCGGCAACTGGACACGCGGCTGTTGACACGTGCCAGGTGCTAGTGGAGAAGCGGCAGGCCCGCAATCCGTTTCAGCGAACCACGCCCTATTTGCTCTCCTGCCGCTTGCCAGATTGGGCTTACGGCGGGGCAGTAGAAGTGAATTAGGCGAAATGTTCGGTGGTGACGCTTGTGAAGGCATGGAGCAGTTGGGAAGTTGGGAGCAGTGAACATAGCAGTGTTCCTTGCTTGCGATGCAAGCAGCAACAACGATGTCAGAGAGTAGTCATAGCAGCACCAGCACCAGCAGGAGCAGAGGCGGCAGCAGCAGGAGCAGCCGTAGTGGTGGCAGCACACTGATGTAAGGGTGGTTTGCCAGCAGTGTGTCGGGCAATTGGTAGGGCCTTGTTTTGCTTCTTGAAAGAGCGGCGGCATGTCTCTACACGCGGGCACCGCACAGGGAGTGGTTCCCCTTTGAACCTGCCCAAAGGATTCCTGCAAAGAGACACGCATGTAAAGGAAAGAGGCATTGTCAATTCTTCCCCCAGACCATTTGAGCAGCGTTTTTTTCTCAGATGATGGATTTTAGCTTCGTGGGGAACTCCCAAAAGCTCCGCGAAGGCACTTGCGCGATACATTGTGTACCGCGAAGCCCCGCGAAGCCACTTCGCGTAGCCCGGTAACATTGACACAGGCGAAGCCACTTCGTGGTTTGAGTGTATTGCGTGCTTTCATGGCAAGTGTGTTGTGCGCTTTCATGGCAGTAGTATTCCAAAGGTTGACGTTTAGAGTCAGCAGGCTACGACAAGATTACAGGAAGATTACCCGAAGACGACCGGAAGAGCACTGTGCGTTTCAGGCCCGGTTTTGCTAGAAACGATGGAACGTTTTCGCGAAGCCTCTGCGAATTCTCTGCGAAGCCCCCGCGAAGCCACCGCGAAGCCTCCGCGAAGCCACTGCCAAGCCACCGCGGTCCAACTTCCATGCTCCGCCCTTTGAGGCCCAGCCATGTCCCCTAGTCCTGAAGCTCAATGCCTCTCTTGCCGACTCAACTTGATTCAACAACACGGGGGCGCAAACGTCAGAGATGTTTGTGCATCCGCGAAGCCCGGCGAAGCCACTCCGCGAAGCCACCGTCTTGCCGCGAAGCCTCGCGAAGCCAACCCTTCCACATATTCTGGCCCCGCGAAGCCCCCCGCGTAGCCTCCCCAGCAGTGTATAAGCCCTGAACCTCTAAAAAAAACAATGCTCATTTGAATCTTAACATAATGACATAAGTGACCCCCCCAAAATGGTGTTTTATCTCCTTGGCTTCCATTTACGGGGTAAACCAACGAGCACCGCCATACCATCGGCCTGAGGTCCCGAGATCAGAAGCTTGTTGCAATGGTGCGGGCCGGGGATTTTCCCAGACGCCTTGCCGTGGAGCCCACGTTTCACCGGCGGCCTACCTGACTAGCGGCCAGCGGGGGCAGCTGCATGGCGCAAACAGGCCAAATGGGTGTTTGTCGTGAAGTGAGAGCCTTTGGTGATCATGATCTACATGGAGATTTATTCGTCCACCGACATGTTCTTTTCGGGAACTCCGTTTAAGTTCATGGCGACATTCCTTCCAGGTTCAAGAGCATGGTCAAACACTGGTGACCACCTTCTAGTCGTCTTTGCTTGCCTGAGTCCCCGCCTGATCTTCGCTTGAACCTCTCTCAAACCCAAATCTTTGCTTGAATTGATGCTGCTGAATGCTGGGGGTATCCGAAACGCGGGGTAGCATTTGCGGCATCCCTGTGAGAACAAGCCATCCATTGCTGCGGCTGGTCTTGCCTTCTCTTGGGATGGCTGGTTTGCAACAGACCCTTAGACTTGTTGGGCGTGATTTCCGAAACTCGGAAAGGCAATCGATCGTTTGGGTGTTTGACAGCGAGACCCAAGTAGACCTTTCCCATGGAATGAAATAAAGAACCTTTGAAGTAGTTCCTCCAGTTTTTGCGCACATTGCCTGGGTTTATGTAAAGTTTGCTGGCGAAACGCGACTGGCACGGGAGCTGCGATATGGCAGTGTGGGTTCAGCAATGAAGCTATGGCCCCCGACAGAGATGCCGTTTCGGAATGCCAAGCTTGGCAGATGCGCCGTGCAGAACTCTCTGTGCTTTGCCGAATACACTTAGTTCAGCCAGAAACGGTGGCTGACCTGCGAACGGCCCATTCGAAGTTGGCATTGTGCCAGGGGCACTGCTTTTGCTTCCTCGAAAATGAAGAAAACCCCACAGGGGTCCAATCCAGGAGATTCCTCAGTCTGTGGGCTTCCATGTTCATTTTCGGGGAAGTCCATCCGGAACCCAACTGTAGGGGTCCACATGACCAGCTGACGCCGCCGGGTGAAAAGAAGACGGGCAGTCGGGCAGAGGTCCCTTGATGTCTACTTTTAGGACAATCAGTCCGGGCCAGTTTTGCCGATGCCAGTGACCCTGCCGTACACTTTGCAACGGCTTTCTCATCAGTATTCTTTTCAGACAGCTTTTTATAACCCTTCCAGAGGTGATGCTAGTTCTTGCCATTTGTCCTTGTAAAGGTTCATCCGGGATGGTCCGAACTGAAACCTTATGTGAGACGCCTTTTCCATTTTTCGATTGTGTTGGTATCTTCTGTGTTAGTTGGGGCTGTCCGTAGTGGAATCGGCGTTGCTTTCTGAATTATGACGGCCGGAGAACAAGTGTTTCAAATGTGGTCAAGCCACCACCAACACAAAGTTTGATTCCCTTGTTGGCGGACATCGCATTGCAGAACCCGTGAGGTGATCTTACCTGGGTAGGGGTTCAATGTGTAAAAGGAAATATGGTAATGCTGCAAAACCAAGCACCCATCGCACCCTCCAACATATTCACTGACTGCAAGCTCACAGGTAGGCTAAAAGCTCGGGCCTCATGGTCAAGGTCCTTTAGGTCATTAGTTTAGATCCACTTCAAGTCGGCCTTGTCAACTCTCAACTAATATGAGGAATTAGCATGCCTTCATCATTGCCTCATTGGGCAGCCATTGGCCCAGCAGCGATCGGCGCAGTGCGGCTGCTCGATGTACGCACAGGCCGGGATCGGAAGCAGCTTCCTTCCCTTTTCATTGCTTGTAGCTTGCAGCTTGCTGGGGGGGAAAGCGAGTGCACTCTTGACAAAGGCTCCTTACTTTGTGAAATGGGTTGGTGAAGAACCGGAATGAGCCCAGATCCGTGCTGTCCACGAGGATACATATCGTTGGCCAACCTTTTGATTCAGGGATTGACCATTGTTACTGCTCCATGCAGCAGTTGGTGTTTTGTTCAGTTGCAGCAAGCTTTATTTCGGATAACATGAGCTCACCCAGGAAGTTGTCATGGATGCTTTTGAAGCTGGGCAGCTGAGAGCTGAAGCTCCCAGTCTTCCTATCCGACACATGCTCTTCAGCCCGTTGTTTGGTTGAGATGTCAATATGTGCTCCGAAGTCATGGCCTGCCTCACACCTCCATGAATGAGTACAACGCACATTACCCATGCACCTGTGCTGTGGTCCATGTGGATTTTCCTTCATTGCGAGCATTTGGACTAAAGAAGGACGTGTGCTTTCTGTTGACCATTTTCAGGCAGACCGAGCCTTGGCATGGGCCCGCACATGTGACACACACACACACACAAGTTTTCATACATTGTCTGGTACAAGGAAAAGAACGTACAAAGAACAAACTGTCTGGAGAAGGCGCCCAGGTGTTTCCCAATTGTGGCTTGGGATCAACGGCTCGCTTGCCGATTGCAGGCTCGCGGTCAGCAGGCGCGAGGGCAACCGCATGGGCGGTGTCTCTTGCTGCGATAGGCAGGAATGCCCGTTGTGGGTGTTAGGAATGAACCGTTCTGGGATTCCCGAATAAAGGACATCACCAGCCGGATGTTTCACGGGGGGTTAACTAAACATGGTTCATTGAGTCGATTTACATTTGTTCATTGAAGCGATTTCCATTTGTTCATTCACCATTGTTGACATTGTGTTTGATCATTCCATTTCTCATTCCCTGCCAATCGAAGCAGCAAGTCTTCACTTCCACGTGCCGAGTTGACACGGTTCGGCGGCCCAGGACATGCAGCAGCCGTACGGCCTGGGCCTAGATCCTGAGCGACGGTTTGATTTTGGTTGGTGGCAGTGGGCTGGTTGAATTGACTTTCCAGGTCCCTCAGCTAGGTGCCCCTTTTACCATTTTTTGGGGGGGAGGGTTCCCCTACGTACTAAAATAGACTACAGAAAAACAAGTACCCTTATTCTAACCTCTCTACTGGAGGACCTAGCTTTTGGTTGATTGACGCCATCGCACCTAGGATCTCTGCCCGGCAGCTTCCCGCCGCCTCAGGCAGGGCCACAGGGATTCATCTGGAAGTCGTGGGCACAGCCTCTACGGCTGGAATCGTTCGCTCTTCCTTCGGCAAGCTGCTGACCTCTTGTTGGATATGCAATTCAGAGTCCGGGTCGGAGATTCTTCTTGGCCTTACAGGAACATGCAAGGGTCTTGCAAAGGGCGCTTAGTTGCAGCCTTTGAGGGAGCTGATGCAAAAGTTCCGCGGATTGGTTTTCTTGGACACCGTCCGTGGCCATGGGTTTCTTCCCACGGAGTTCGGTGAAGCAAATCAGTGAGTGGAACGGATTGTCTCCGAAGGTAGAAAGATGGATCTATCCCCAAGGTGAGCCTTGCGAAAGTGAAGGCAAGGGTTTCCCCAAGGATATGAACCCTGACATGAATCGCGCTGGAGGTTTGGAGCTTTGTGTCTCCCCACCGGAGGGTAGTCCGGCCAGCCCTAAGATTGATTCAGGTTGGGTGTCTGGCTCCCCAGTACACACACGGTCAGTCAAGAGACCTCACATGGCTTTGGAACTCTTATTTGTATGCCTCAACAGAATGGCTGCTGGGCACAACATTCGGGTGTGTCTTTTTTAACGGTAGCCCTCAAACTGCTGGTTTTTCTAGCATGTCCAACTCAATATCCCCCGCAAACTGCTGGTTTTCCTTTTGAACCAACCTGAAAAAAATAAACGGTGCCCTCAAAGAAAAAGAAAACAAAAGAAACACACCCATTTGTAGCATGTCCAATATCCAGCAAGGGTCCCAAACAGTTTGAGCGGGCTCAGGGCACCTTCGCTGCGATGCAGCAGGGCTACTTGGGCCAAGGCCTCCAGTCAGGAGACACGAGGGCTGCTCCCGGATTTTCCTCGGCGCGTTCCTTTTGGGCCGATGCAGCCAATTGTGACTTGGATCGTAAGGAAGCTTTCAGAGAAAACTAGGCCCTTTGAGCGTGTTCTTCTTGACTTTCAGCTTCAGCAGGATCTGAAAGGGATGTGACTTGTTCTGATGTCCCAGTTATGACATTGTCTTCAAGTTGGGCTCAGGCCGGACTGAGATCAAGCATCTTAGGTGGAGGGTGCCCCCTTTCAGTGGGTATCCAAGTTGCTTTCAGAGTTGCTTGGTTCATGACGATCCCATGGTTTTCCATTCCCTTTGGCATGGTGGTTTTACAGCTGACCTTGAGCACATGTACCCGTTTGAGCCCTTTGAAAGCCAGCCCAAAGGTATCCCCAGGATGGTTTGCTCCAAGCGAAACGCACACGCGGCTTCAGGACAAAGTGCAGGGACCTACGGAGGCGGATCGGGGAGGGATGTCAGCTCAGCTCAGCGCAGGGCTGTTCTTGCCCACGTGAAAGCTTGGCCCTCGCCTTGGGTCCTTCTTCCCTTGGTTGGTTTCAGAAACTGTTTTTTTCTTAATGAGGCGGTAAGATGAGCTTCGAGCCAACCCGTGCCTGTACTTCAGAAGGGACTCCGCGTTTCCAGTTTGCGAGTAGCAAAAGTCTTCGGTCTAGCCGTCTAGCCAAGAACATGCAGCAGCCCTTGGGCGCCATCCTTCTTTGCCTCGTATTCCTTCTAAGCCTCAGGAAATTACCTGAGGGAAACCGCAATAAAACCAAACAAAAAAGTGGTAACTATGTGGGAAACTATGCAGCAGCCGAAGGCCAAAGGCTTCCGGAGAAATAGTCTTCGATAGTTGTTCCTGTCGCGACAGCTTTGGATTCCTGTGCTCCCTGGCTTATAATCAAACAGTTGCACATGAGTTTGTCTCCAAAACGGGAAACCCCGCAACATTGGCGGTCACACCAAAACCGTTACCCTCCAAGCAAGTCCCTTGTACTTTGCCGTTCTGGCCACAACCCAGGGGATCCTGAAAAATGGAAGAGAAGAATGGGGATCCACCTTCAAGATTTGGCAACAGTCTGGTAGTGGCAGCTTGAAGGCTGTCCCGATGCTCTGACCTCTTGTTTGCTTGCGAGCTTTATGGATCAAGGAAACCAACTAGCAGGAATACAGGGGGAACCAGGGATATGGGAGGATTCCGCTAAATGCACCTTGACTAAGCCTGATATGGGAAGTGACGCCAAGGGAATCTCCCCATATCCCCGCTCCCTCCGTATCTATCGCAGGCCCAGCAGGCGTTCCTCCAGGCGCAGCGGGACCATGTCATCCGGCGCTCCTCAGCTGTATGGCTTATTTGAGGGCTGAGGACGCGAGAGCAAGACCGGAGAGTATTGGCACCTCTTGTTCAACCCACTGGCCAGGTGACGAGCCTATCGTTGGGATACCAGGGCCTCAGGGGGTATGCTAATTACTCCCTGCTTTGTAACCTACGTAGGTCTGAAAAGGAGAGCTGCGACCAAATGTAGTTCATGTCGGCTGTGTTGACCCATCGCGTGACTTCCAATACAGGTTCACGTGTCTCGAACCTTTTTAAACAACAGTTCAGGCCCAAATGTCTGAGTCCACAACCGGCAGAGAATCCCAACAACATGTTGTATACACATGGCTGCTGATTGAATCTTAGGAAGAGCAAAGTCAGGTTTTACATGTTGTTAATTGCAAATAATGCTGAACAAATGTATAGATACACATACACGTTCACGTGCTCAGACTCCCTATCTCAGCAAACCACAAGTTGATCATTTCCTCTGTGGCTTGAAGTTCGCTCTCTCTTTCTCTTTTTTTCTCTTCTCTCGCTCTCTCTCTCTCTCTATCTTCTCTTTCTGTTCCTCTCTCTCTCTCTCTTTATCTCTCTCTCTCTCTCTCTTTATCTCTCTCTCTCTCTCTTTATCTCTCTCTCTCTCTAACTCTCTCTCTCTCTCTCTCTCTCTCTCTCTCTCTCTCTCTCTCTCTCTCTCTGGAGCATCCTGCCCACCCTTCCTCCTAGAGGATCAGCTCAGGCAGAGCGTTACAGAGGCCTTCCCTGGCGCGTCGCCTTGCGATCCCGAGGTTTGCAGCCAACTTTGGCGGGAATGGTGGAGGCGCCAACGGGGGTGACGACCGGCACCGGCACATGTCTTAAGGAAGCCGATTTTTGGTGATGGAAGCACCCTGGAGCCTTCCGAAATGGGCCGCTGAAAGCTGCATGGACTAAGTCTTGGCTCGGCTCCGTCCTCGCTAGTTGTCTACGTCGCGTTTGCACCAGTTGATAGGCCAGAGTTGGTACTTTGGCGGGTGTACCCAATTCACGCCTGCCCTATTTCGAAAGACACACACTTGCCCGAGTTAGGGAAGAAATTCCTCGTTGGCTGATGTTCCTGCGGGATCCGTTGCTGCAAACGTGTGAGGGTTGAACATGGCTTCGATCCGATGTGTTTTCAAGCGGAAGGTCCTGAGGAAGACATCCAACGTCCCTACTGAGGCTATCGTGGAGTTCAACCGGGCTTTGCCCCAGGCAGAGCGATTGGGGGCAGAGCTTGCCTGCAGGCGTTTGATTGATCTCACAGCTTCGTTTTGCCACTATAGCAATTTTCTTGGGAGCTTACCGCAAGAAAAGAGACCGGAGATGCAATAGGCGGATATCACATGAATAAGCACAATTGTCCCAGCTACATTTCTGGCTTCTCCTGGTTTTTGTATTGGCTTTCTCGTGTTGTGCCATGTTCCCTGCAAACTAACGAAAAAAAGGTCCGAGTCCGACTGGGAACAGTCACTAGAGCACAAGACCTGTCGGAGCAGGTCTAGTGTTCAGAGACTTGGCGTAACGGGGACAGCCCACAATGAGCATCAAACATCTCACAAAGCCACCAGGTTGCTGTTGTGTCCAACGAGTTGTTTGCGGGGTCCTCTTAATGGACAAATCCCTTAGTGTTGACTCATATACAGTAACTTTTTTTAAGGGGTTCCCCTTTGGTTTTTGTGTTTTTTTTTTTTTTTGTTTTTTTTTTTTTTTCCAATTGGTTTCCCTTCAAAATCAACCGAACGGGGGTACCCTCAACAAAAGACATACCCATACTGACATGAACACCTGAGCCTTCCACATGAGCTGCCAATAGCCGATTGCCTTGGGACATGAAAAATTGGGCCTGGCAAACCAACTTACGAGGAGTTCACCGTGTCCTTCAACTGGCTTTCAGTTGCTTGAGGTTTGTGGTTCGCAGAGGGGAATGGTCCACCAAGTCAGCGAGTCGCTGGTTTTTTGGGTCACCTGCGTCACCGAGTCACCCACTGCAAGTTGGAAAAGGAGGATCCGTGCGAGTGGGATTCCACTGGACTGCCACAAGCCCACCAAGTTCAACAAGGCAGGCATTGGCATGGGTCAAACTGGGTTCAGCATGTAGGATATGTATGTTTCCATTATGAGGCCTACAGGAAACCAACTCAAAATGATTCACAGTAACACAATTGTTGCAGGGTTGCTTCCCTCTAAGGGAGATTCCGCTCTCCCCCACCAAAAAATAAAAACGCTAACCCCCCCCCCCTCCTCCTCCCTCAGGGAGATAGAGTGTATACCTTTGCATCATAACCCTTCGACACACAACAGTTGAGACCGCATGTTCACGGCCCTACCTGGAGTCTCCATGACCCTTTAAGAATGGAGTCACCAAGAAAAGGTCATGACCCCATTTTTTAAGGGTCATGGAGACTCCAGGTACTTGTTTTCCCCCCCTGGCATTCTTGAAGTGAGTTGAAGTCCCGAGGTGGTTTCTACGGCCACGGGGCGCAGCAGGTTTTGGCCAAGAAGGGCCTCCTCGCCCCACCTAAACGCCGGAGACCCTGCTCCGTTGAATTCGACTTGAGTGGAGCTGCGTATTTTTTGAGAAGGATGTTCTAGGTGGGCTTCAGGGGTGTGAGCAGCTTGGACCAAGACAAGTGTCTCTTAATTCTCTTGTGAGAAACACGGTGATGGTGTAACCATTCTACCTTGGTTTCGGCGTGTCATTCATAAATGCGCACCTGCAACCTTTGCATGCGTTCATGTTGCCTTGCCAGCTGACAGAAATGAACATAAGTTCAATGTGAGATATTTTTTCTCAACCCACAACTTCCACACTTAAGAGTCACCATCCTTCAACCTTGCCCATTCCTGGATGTTAAATCAACACGTGTCGATTTGTCAAACAAAGACGTAAGCGTGAACTACAGACATCAATGCCGCAATCTTACTGGCGCGGCCCCATGACAATCACATTCACTTGCTCATTGTGTCCAAATGTCGGGGACCCGTTGGCAGCTCTTTGAAGGCCAAACGAATTGACAGCTACTAGATTGCTTTGTTTCTTGTTTGGAAACCCCCACGAGGATCCAGTGTAAACAAAAAGAGCTAGGTGTCTTTTTTTGTTAAAGGGCTGGGTTGGTTGGTTGGTTGGTTGGCTGGCTGGTTGGTTGGTTGGTTGGTTGGTTGGTTCGTTGGTTCGTTGGTTCGTTGGTTCGTTGGTTCGTTGGTTCGTTGGTTCGTTGGTTCGTTGGTTCGTTGGTTGGATGGTTGGTTGGTTGGTTGGTTGGTTGGTTGGATGGTTGGTTGGTTGGTTGGTTGGTTGGTTGGTTGGCTGGCTTGACGCATTCCCGGCGTCACTAGCCTCAATTGGCCGGGGGTTGCCTATTGGCTCTGATTGGATGGCAGTTGGGAGTTGCTGGGGGTTGGTTTTAGTTAAGGGGGGTTTAGGCTGGCTTAGATCTTGAGGGTGCTGCTGGCTAAGCAGTGTTTTTATGGTTGCTATGGGATGTGGTTAAGTGAGTTGTGAGCGAGTTTTGGTGGTTTGACCACATCCCAAAAGCAGCCAGAAAAACACTGCTTAGCCAGCAGCACACCCAACACAAATCAGCTCTAAGCCAACCCCAAATCCACCAAAAGTCAACCCTAAACCCGCCCAACAGCAGCCTGGATGTCAGCCCTAACTCAACCCCATGGCCCAAACCACCACAAGACCCACCCCAATGAAGATCTAAGCCAGTCTCAAACCCCAAGGAAAAAGACAGCCCCAGAAGAAAAAAAAGCACCTCCACCACCCACACGATCCAAATCGCCAAACCAGCGAGCCAATGTCCTGACAGACGTGATTTTAAGAGGGATAGTCATGGTCCCTTGGTCAGGGTTGGAAGCGTCGGGGTGCCAAGCGCGGTGGTGTTTACTATTCATTGGACCCTCGCCAGAGTCGGCCAACTTTCAACATGTTGGCAGCTTTCTTCATTCTTGTCCCAAAATGCAGATCACCCACTTCGCCCTGCTTTCCGGTTTTTCGAGGGGTTTGCCGTAAAGTCAACTGCTTCTGTTTTTCACGCCAGGGCAGGCCACAAGTCGCCGGCATCTCGCTCTAAGGTAGCCGCCAGAAGCAAGCTTGGTGCTGCTGAAATGTCGCCTAGGCGAGGGGCGAAGGGCGAAAACCTCAGCGGCCAGAAGAGGCGAGGCCAAAGAGGTAGAAAAGCCAAGTGACTGCTTTGGGGTTGGACACCTTTCGTTGGTTTTTGTTGGGGGAACCCAAGCTTAGCTGCCTGATTGCAGGATTGAGGATCATGGCAGTTGCCTTGGCTGCGGCTTGAGACATACATGCCAAATTCGACATGCCTGCCGCGGGATAATTGGAGTTTGTGGAAAAAACATGTGCGTGCTAGAGGATTCTAAGGGCTCAGGTCAGGCTCCAAGGCTCGGCTGCAGGTTTCCGTGGCAACACGACTCTTGTGAGCGCGGTCTCAGGGCCGCAAGGCCCAGGCAAGACTTCGCTTGAGATGTTTTCCTGATTTGCGCCGGGTGGAAAGGCCCTCGTGGCAAGCCGTTTGGGCGTCTTCTCAAGAAGAGTTCAACAAAGTTGGGGCTTCACCTCTGGTTGTCACGGTCTCAGGATCCCCGTGTTTGCAGAATGGCTCAGAATGGGCACCGGCTCACTTTTCCCGACAGAGTGATGGCAGACAGCCTTCTTCACTGGCAGTTGTATTCGACCCCGGATTAATAAACCTGGCGGATTCACCGGGATCCCCGAACGGGATCGACACCTTACAATCAGCCAGGAGCTTGTTAATCCTGGGTTGCCATGAGGTTGAGCCGCGCATGTCATGTCTCGGCGACTGACAGTTCAGAGTCGCTGTGCTGAAATGCGACCGTGGCATTTGCTGGGCTCCTTTTTTTGCGTGCCATTGCGGTTTTTGGACTGGGGCAGATGATTCGGGCAAGCCCGAAATGCCCCGGCCCTTTTTGCGGAGGCCGGATCCGGGACGAAGCGCGGCCGTTTGAACCAGGTAAGACCGTGTCGCCCGTGAATTCGGTGTTGTGCAGGACCCATCTATTGCCGCATGGACGGCGGGCTGCCCATTGCGTCTTCAAAGCTTGCCCTGCGCTCTTCTTCGGATCCGATAGCGCTGATAGCGCTTACTTCTGTTCAGAAGCAGTTCACTTCGTTTTGCAGGCTCGGGACGTGCACACTCGCGCACAGAAAGACTGGGCTGTCTATATTCTTGAATCGGATTTGGACCTCTCAGGTTGCTCACATACATCGACACAAGGAATGCAATTCCTGCAGACATGTGTTCTCCATCCTGTTGCACTCAAAGGTTTTGAACAGCTTCTTGAGTGTCGGCTGAGCATTTGAGGGGTGGCCCTTTCAACGCACGTTCTTGGTATGTACCCCCGGGCTGGATTAAGTAGATAGTTTACTCGTTCAGGTCATGCGTACCTATGGCAAGTCCGAAAGTGCACACAGGAGATGTCTTGGTTTAATCTGTTCTCCGCGCTTCAGCTTGTTGGGCAAAGACTGATTTGGTTCCCACTCTGAGCTTTCCCCAGACTCTAATTGACTTTCACTCAGTGCTGCGAGTTTGTATGCAGAGCCATGGATTGGCTCTCTCCTTTAGGCCTTGAAGAGCAGGTCACGTGTCCATCTCTTCAGTGATCCAGATGCAAAGGCTCTGGAATCTGCGCGCTTGGAAAATCCCGGAAGCTCAGGCTGCGTTTTCTTTCTTGGATGAATCATGTCGGATCTGTCCGCCTGTGGCTTTGGGGATTCGCGGAGGTCGCGGGCCGTTGGCACTCGCCCTCAGAGGGCTCTTCTTCAGCATAGGAGTCTTGATGCGCCTGAAAACGGGCAAACTCAAGCCAAATTCGGATGCTACTCGCCGACAGCGATTGGTACAATTTGGGCAACGGTGCAGACTGGTCCAAAATCTGGCCTTGGAAATTGGAAAGGGGTTGCGGGAATAAATGTGTGATTCCAAAAGAGGCAGATCGCCAAGCAACTCAATTGGCTTTCGCTGAAGCAATATCGCAAACAGGCGTGGCCACTTGTTGAAGGTCCTCGAATTATGGCAAGTCCATTTACAATTTCTGGTGATGCTCTTGGGTACGTTTCATTTGGATCAGGACCCCGCTGTGCAAAGGTATGTAATCGTCGCTTTGCTGCTGCCTTATTCTGCTCGTGATCAGCAGGGAGCAATTGCTTTGCAAGCTTTAGTGGTTTTTGGCCACCACAGTGTATTTCCTTTTTGCTCATTCGTGCTTGACCGGCCACAATTGCCCAACATGGCGTCTTTGAAACTGCCGATTTCCGTCCAAACTCATCACCATCGTTTGAGGCTGCACCTTTTCCCTGCAGGGTCCTTTGGCCGCATGTGAGCCTTTTCAGGCGGGAGGGCCGCCTTGAACATTTGGCAGTCTGGAAAACGTGCTGCATGTGCCGACTGAGCTTGCAACAGTTGGCATATTCGAGGTACCCCGAAATTGTACCTCGAATTGCTCCGAACCATATAGTACAACTGAAAACCCTTAAGCATATAGTAATTGTATTACATGGTTTTTAGCTAAATATGAAGAACGATTCCTCGGCACATGCTCAGGGGTGCGCGACATTCGCTGCCTCCCAGTGGCTGGTTTCCTTGGGTGTTCCCTTTCAACCACCAGAAAGTTGGCCACCAGAGCAGGACTCATTCCAATGTTTGTATGTGCTGTGGTCAAAAAGCCTTTTTGATGTATTTTTTACCACTTCAGGTTGTCACGGATTGTTCACCCGGATTTCAAGCGGCTTCCCCTTGAAGCGCCTTGACTAGCGAGATTGGGAATAGTAGTTGGTGCGGATGGGCAACCCTTTCGGGGCGGTATCTTCAAACTTCAAGGGCTTTGCCAGTTAGTGTTGATATCGTCGTCAGCAGACAATCGTCTCGCACTTCGATATTGCTAAGGTCACGTCCATATTCAACTCTATATAGTGTTTTTGGGGGCATGTACTTTTATCATAGCGTATGTCATTTCCTGCCTATGCCCAACGCGGCATTTGGCTCAAGTTTTATCTCCGGCAACCCTCACTTGCCATCTCGTCACGTGCTCGCGGCGGCACTGGCCACCGTCTTCGCGCAAAAGGTGCGCGGGGCCGGCAGGCCGTGGTCCGGGTCTTCGTGGAGGTGGGTCGGGTGTTGTGTTGGGAGGTCGCCCTTTGTTTTGCTACTGCACGCTTGCTCGCTTTGCTCGCTTGGTGCTGCTTGCTGCTGGTTTGCTTGCCTGCTTTGCGCTGCGCTGCGCTTCTGCTTGGTTCCTTCTTGTTACAACGAGGCACCCCTTTTGGTTCGTGTTTGTGCCGGCCGGGGGCAACCGCTTTGCCCTTGGGACTGGGGGGATAAGGTGGTCTCTTCTTGTTGGTGGGTTAGGGCCTGTTTTATCCATCCCGAAACTCTGTTTCAAACCCTTTCGCAGGTTATCAGCCGTAGGATTCGTCCTCGGTTGGCACCGCGAACCCCTTTTTAACAACCCTGCAGGCGCTGTAGGTTATTGTATATACGATGGCAGGAATCACTGAGGATGGACCTCACGTGGTGACTGATGAATGGGTTCTCGGCCAGGCCGGAATCTTGGACGTTGTGAATGACGACCAGGTGCCCGGACAGCCGATGTTTTCCGGTCCTGATTTTTTGTCGGACCACACTTTTTCCGAAGCAATGCCTTCAGGAAGGTCCAGTGCTACTCGCACTGATGACCTATCGTCTAATGCCTCAAGAGCTAATCGCTCTCAGGGTCATGGGGCTAATCGTCCTGACCATGATGATTCCGTCTCAGGACGTGATGATGACGAGCCCGGTATTGCACCTGGAGCTCAATCCTCATCTTTCCCGGAGCTGATGAATATTGGTCAGTCCGAGTTTCGTGACTCTCGAAGTAGCAGTAGACCTGTGCCAACCAGCAGTATAGTTTTTCAAGCGCTCGGTAATCCCGAACCCGGTACATCCAGTGGAGTTGCATTTGATGTTCATCTGCCAGCCGATATCGGTAGGTCAGATTGGATGGCCTCATGGCCCAACGACGGTAATATTTTTGGCATGGATTTCAATACATGGATGCCAGGGCCACCCGCCCCATCATCTTTCCCGCAGTTTCAGAGCCCAAAGCGGACTGCTGGAAGCGAGGAATTCATGCTACCCTTGTCCATTGAAAATCTCAATCCTGATGTGGCCAGCCGCAATGTCAGGCCAAGGCCATCGGTAAACCCGACAATGAGGAATATGTCCCCTCCCCCAGGACTTTCAGGATTTGAGAGTCCAAGGGAGCGAAACATTGTAGATAGGTTGGATTTGCATCCCAGTCCTACGCCAAGCAAACGGTCTAGGTCAGACTCGGCCAGCTCGCATAGGGCTAGAAGGATGGATCGAGAGACCGCACACAGGGGAAACCCCAGTGTGCGGGGCTCAAGACGTGGTCACTCAGGCGATCCCGCGTCGATTGTCGGTAGGGATCCGCTAAACGCGGACACGTTGATTAACGTGCTTGATGGGATCGAAGCATTCCAGGAGGAATTCAATAGGTCGAGTGGCCCGAATGTACAGCCTGTTCGCCCTACGCCCAATGCGGCTTCCTTTCTCGCCATTGACAACACAGACGGAGCTGATGTTCCGATTGAGTCTGAGTCCATGATGGCATCAAGTTCCAATCACAACAACACCGTCAGCAGCGCAACCGATGTTGAATCAATGTCTGAGTCTAGAGCGTCCAATGCGACTGATTTGCATGACGTTGTCATTGCCGATATGAAGCCTGAAGTTCCTATGCGGACTGATAGGCCAGTAGTTCCCAAATTGTTTGTGACAAAGGGTCTAGGCATGCCACAGCCATCAGCGGTTCGTGATGCCAGAAGATCTGCACCGTATCAGAGTCAGTCTCCTAATCGGAGCGAATTCCCACGGCCATCAACGGCTGTACAAGATGATTTCAGGACACCTCCGAGATCTAATCCGATCATGGTTGATTTGTCCACTCCTCGAGATCGCGGATCAGGATTTGGTCCTGCGAGTGAGGAGCAACCCAACGAGGTTGCTGATCTTGTAACAGCCCTTGAAAGAGGGAGAGTGGACTCTTCGGTAAGTGCGATCATTCATCGCCTGGTTGCTAAGGTCGAAGACCTTGGGCGTAGGAATGATAGAAGTGATCAATGCATCAAGCAGCTCTCCACTGAGGTTAACTCGTGGAGGGCCAAATACGACCAATGCGTCCATGTGAGTAGCACGTGTACGCAGGCTGCGAACGCGGCCATGCAGCTGTCACAAGGGACTAAGGACATCGTGACCGAGCTTGGCCAACGCGTCAAGATCGTTTCCAATCGCATGACAAGCATAGGCGATGCCCTAAATGAGCGAGCCAGCTATGATGATGTTGCTCGCTCCATCACCCAAGTTCAAACTGTTTTTGAATCTCTTTCTGATCGAGTAACCGGGCTTATAGCTCGTGTTGATGCTGATCGAGAGATCTCTAGTGGAGAGCCAATCCAACCATCCTGCGATTGGTGGAGTAAACCTCAAAATCGAGGACCTGTCCACTAGGGTATGTCAGATTGATAGGATGATGCAAGATGTCGAACAATGCTGGACCAATAATAGGGACGGCATAAAGTGGGTTAAAGACCAACTTTATGAGACACAAGCCAACCTTGAGATAAAGTCAAGGGACTGCAAATCCTACACGGACAAGCAAAATACTCATAACATGGCCGTTTCGACTACGCTCAACAGTAAGCTCGAGCAAATGCTCGAGGTGCTGGGTAATACGGCCCAGAGAATTAACTCCCTCGAGTCAAGGCACTCGAACCAGGCATCAAGTAGTGGATTGAACGATCGCACAGGAGGAAGGCGTGCCGCGTCCCGTACTCCGGATAAGCGGCCACCTCCACCTGGCCCTCCTGATGATGATCCTCCACCACCTCCTCCTCCAGATCGGCAAAGCCCAGGAGGAGGGGGGAAGAAGAGTGCTGCCGGTGGGAACCCTGGCGACCCTGGTAAGCCCAGGTGTAAATACGTAGGTGATGGAAATAATCACCTTATGGCTGAGTTTCACTGCAAAGGATGTAGAGATGATATTTGTGAGTATTGTTTCTCGTTCAAAGAGAACTTGTGTGAAGAATGTTCCCGTAACGGACCCCGATGCGGTGTCTGTAGGGAGAGCTCATTCCTGACCAAGGGAATTGAGTGTCAGTTTTGTAG